CGCGGACATTTTAGCCTTTGGGTTGAATTTTTTTAGCGCATATTTGTTTCAAGAGTGTCAGGAAAAATTTTCAAGTGCAATTAATTAAGTTAACATTGATTTGCTGTCAAAAATGTCGTATTTTTTCACAAAAAGCGCGCGCGCGCGCACTTTTGCTCAGATTCCTTCGAAACCATAAAATGCATGTAATATACATAATTCCGAGTTTGCATGCAAAATATCAGCCTCCTACGACAATTCTAAGTTATGTTTAAATTTTCCGGAGAGTAATACGTTTTATGCCCCCCCCCCTTTTCAACTCTCCTTCTATGGAGAGCAAATTATGAATTTTCCTGTTCGAATACAGTCAAATTGCTTTTTATTACTCGTTAAATATGAAAATGTGTGTGAATGTCTAGTTTGGTTTTATTAAGTGAAATGCTTTTAATATGCTTTTTAAAAAAATAAACGCTTATTCGAAAGGCTTATTTTCAGTATGATTGTATTTACATTTGAACAAAATATAGTTTGAAAAATAAACTAAATGTTCAGGGGAACTTCACATCAGCGACTGACCTAAACCTGTTGATTGCTCGGGGAAACAGGATCGAGATTATGCTCGTTACTCCAGAGGGTCTCAGGTATAAAATATATGAAAGTTGATAGTTTTTAATTTTGGTTTCTCCCTTATTAAAGAGAATTGCGGATTTATGAGTCAAAGAAGGATAGTATATTTTCTTCATTGTTGCTTTGTTAAAATTGGAAAGGGTACCACTGTGAATTGGCCATGCAGTTCTTCAATTGTTAGGTCCCTACAGACCATTTCAATTAAACTTTTGAGTAAAGATTGTTTTGGTAATTTTTTTTATGTTACTGAAATTGAGTTTTGGAGTGTGCACTGTGCAGACTGCAGAAAACTTAAATTGAAATCTTATCAATCAATTAGTCTAAAATTTTTACGACATCAACTCACAACGTTCTCCTGTTTTAATAGTTAAGGCAGTACTGGCCCTAGCTTCATTTACAGGGCGTACCACATCATATTAGATCGTTTATAGCTCTAAATTAATCGAAGGAATTTATAAAATGTCGTTTTCTTAACCTACTGATAATGGAATGCTGCAGATATTTAGTTTTTTAAATGAAATATGAAATATTTAAATTGAGCCTAATAAAACTGTTCTCGCATATTTAATTGCAAGTTTTTGTTTACATTTACTGAGATTTACGTATAGTAGTAATGAAGCTGATTGAAAAACTGTGAAGACGGTATATTATCAATTATATCGATTACTCCTAAAACTGTGAAGACGGTAGTTTATCAATTATATCGATTACTCCTAAAACTGTGAAGACGGTATATTATCAATTATATCGATTACTCCTAAAACTGTGAAGACGGTAGTTTATCAATTATATCGATTACTCCTAAAACTGTGAAGACGGTATATTATCAATTATATCGATTACTCCTAAAACTGTGAAGACGGTAGTTTATCAATTATATCGATTACTCCTAAAACTGTGAAGACGGTATATTATCAATTATATCGATTACTCCTAAAACTGTGAAGACGGTAGTTTATCAATTATATCGATTACTCCTAAAACTGTGAAGACGGTATATTATCAATTATATCGATTACTCCTAAAACTGTGAAGACGGTAGTTTATCAATTATATCGATTACTCCTAAAACTGTGAAGACGGTATATTATCAATTATATCGATTACTCCTAAAACTGTGAAGACGGTAGTTTATCAATTATATCGATTACTCCTAAAACTGTGAAGACGGTATATTATCAATTATATCGATTACTCCTAAAACTGTGAAGACGGTAGTTTATCAATTATATCGATTACTCCTAAAACTGTGAAGACGGTATATTATCAATTATATCGATTACTCCTAAAACTGTGAAGACGGTAGTTTATCAATTATATCGATTACTCCTAAAACTGTGAAGACGGTATATTATCAATTATATCGATTACTCCTAAAACTGTGAAGACGGTAGTTTATCAATTATATCGATTACTCCTAAAACTGTGAAGACGGTATATTATCAATTATATCGATTACTCCTAAAACTGTGAAGACGGTAGTTTATCAANGGGGGTAAAGTTTTTTTTTGAAAAAACGTACTCATTTCATTAGGAAAATTCTACAGACTAATTTTTATTTTCTGGAAATTAGTAGTTTTTGGATTAATTATTATAAAAGTGTATGATTAATCTCCATGTTATATTTATTTTCTCTATTGTGGGGGCCGTGTGGGTGGCATATATATTCCCTATGTCCACCAAATGGACTCGTTGCAATTGATTGGATGATTGTTTAGAATGATAAAAAAAGATAAACAATTTATTCCGATATGTAATTGTACCGATGTAGCAGATTTTTTAATTTTGTTAATTTTGTTGGAACAAGAAAATTGTTTAGAATAATTCAATTTTGTAGGTATTCTGGTAGCGATAGATCCAGAAGCCAGAGTCATTGGTCTAAGATTATATGACAGTCTTTTCAAGGTAACATTGAACAATAGCATATTTAACTAGGTTGGGAACTCAGCGTTGCCTACGTTACTCATAGTTACTCCCGCCGTTGTCCCACACTTTGTCGATTTTACCGCGAAACCATATTTTTGCTATTAAATTCAATCCACTCAAATTAGACGCTCAAAACCACGCTAAGAACATTCCAATGTTCTCTCGAGTTCCCTAATCAAAATATTTGAGGCAAATCGGTTAAGGGGTTAATGAGTTATGATCGGACATACAAACAGACAAACAAACAGAGATTATACCTATATATGAATATATAGATGTTATTCAATTTTGAAATGAGGTGTATTGATAAAAAAAATTATTTTAAGAAAAGAAATCATCGGGTAAAAATACTTTTGTTCAGGTCATTCCACTGGACAGAGGACAGATGGAGCTTAAGGCGTTTAACATCAGGTTTAAGTCCTTTTTCCTTTTTCTATTTATGTTAAATTAAGTTAAGTTTAAATTATGTTAAGTTATTTCAAAACAGTTTAAAAAGAGAATCAGCCATCCATTTGGCCGAATTTCTTACTTTTCGAATGCCTGTCTGGCTGATGGTTGGCTGATTGATTGATTGATGATTGATTGATTGTCTAATAATTCTCAATTTTTTATATTGACTGATTGATTGCGCTATTTATAAATTAATTTATGATGAATGGTCAGTATGATTTATTGATTATTTGACTGTGATTTCCCAATTGTTGATTGAGTGACTGATTTTTTAATTGAACTAATTGAAAAATTGAACTAATTGAAAGATTGTCTCACTGATTAATTGTATATTTATCATCCATTTATTTAGAATTTTTAAGATTTAGAGTGTCTGATCATCGTGATTGATGAATTGACGGATAGATTGATTGATATTTCTATTGATTGATTGATTTAATTGATTGATTATTGATTGATTGAATTTGCCATTAATCAATTAAACTGTAGGATTGAAGAGATCAATATCCACGCTATCCAATTCCTGCATGGTTGTCAGCATCCAACTCTGGCACTTCTACATCAGGATGTGCATGGCAGGTACGGAATTTAACTTCCGACGGTATTTTAAGTGCCCCGCCATTTGAGGGGGGGGGGGCAATGGCATTTAGAATAAAATGTCATTCTTCTTGACTGCAGACTGCAGAGTATTTAATTCTAATAATTCCTACATTATTTTCCTGGCTTTCTTGCGGCAGAATGCCCCAGTCACGTGTGCACTGTGCAGTCTTTACAAAATTCCAAATTCAATATTATCATGTTTAAGAATTATAAGCATGTCATTCTTTTAATGACGGTTTACTTGAAATTATGACTACAGAGTACAGAAAACAATGCCTTCAATACCCTCCTCATCTTTCCACTCTAGATATTTTAAAAGTTGTTCAGTGTTCACCTTGTCAGTAAAATGCAGTAACAATTTTTGCTACGGATCCAAAATTATTACGGATACATAGTTTTTCCTACCGAGCACCCGTATTTTTTGTAAGTCTGGATCCAGGAAGCCAAAAAGTTGCCAATTGAAATTCTCCGTACTGCTTTGATGTTCTTATTACTATATTTAAAATTTGGTGATGGTAATGGACCAAACCTCTGTAGAGTAAAAAAGTAGAAGTTAGTTCCACATTTATTGAAAATATATTTCGGTCTGAGTTGACCCTCGTCAGTTCTAACGATATAATAACCATCAAAATCGACAAAAAAAAAATTTAAAAGTTGTGATAAACCACAAGAAAATTTAACTATATTGTTTTGGTTTACTTAAGTGTTTTAATTTCTACCGTCTGTTTACGATTTTATTTTATAGTTTATTTGAATTCATCCTTTTTATTTGATGCTAAATTACCTGCTTAAATGATTCTTAACTAATTTTTTTAGACATGTTAAATCACACGAGCTAAGTCTGAAGGACACTGAGTTTGTGAAGGTAAAGACTTCAATTTAGGTTTTCGCGCTTTTAGATTTGTATATGCTTCCATGATTCCAGGGTGTGTATATTTTCTTGAAAAATCATTTTTCTCTCTTTGAAAATCTTTTCATCCCCAGAAATTATATTAAAAGATAATTAGGTTTTTTTCGCTGTTTTGAGGAAAATAAATGATTTGAAGGAGAGAATCAATGAATTTTTTTGGTAAAACAAGATAAAGTTTATTGCTTAAATATATGTCTGTGTACAGAACGAGTTTACAATTACAAATTGATGATTATATTATCAGTACAATTGTAAAGCAATTAGGTGGAAAATAGCTCTTGGCTGTTTTGATTATTTTTTCCACCTAATTATAATACATGACAACAAAACATTTCAATTAAATAGATTGAAGGAGAACTATTAGAGATCAGGGTTGCCCGTGGAATTTAAAAAAAAAAAATTTTTTTTTATGTTTGAAAAAATCGATTTTTGAAAAATACAAATTTTAGAATGTTTTTAGCTTATGTTACCCACAGGGTACCCATGGATTCCCTCAAAAAAGTTTAGCTCATTCGGACCAGTCGGTTTGGCCGGTTATAGGGGACATATATACAAATGTCTTGTTTTATTATATAGATTTTGGTGTTAGGTATTTAGGCATTTTCCTAAGTTCGACTTTCCAAGTGACAATTTCCCAAGTGGTAATTTTTCAATTGTGCAATTTTCCAAGTGGCAGCTTCCTAAAGGCTAGGAAATAGGTCTTCTGAGGCACTGCAGGCTGCAATAGGGGCCGAGTGCTGCGGATAAATGAAAGACTTTGCACAGCTGGGAAGTTTCCACTTGGGAAATTATCTCTGGAAAGTTGCGACTTGGGAAAATACCCCTGGAAAGTTGCCGCTTGGGAAAATACCCCTGGAAAGTTGCCGCCTGGGAAAAAGCATTTGGGAAAGTACAAACCTCTATATTTTAGGTAGCGTGGAAGCAGGATAACGTGGAACGACGAGCAGATATGCTGATAGCAGTTCCAGAACCATTCGGAGGAGTTCTTATCATTGGTGCGTTAAAATAAAACAAGTCTGGGACGGAATTTAATAAATTTGAGCAAGATCGCTGAACTTCCTTCCGTCATTCAAATACTTATCTGTAGCTATGGATGGTAGTTGTTGACATCTATAGGACATGGGATCAGTGATACAGGATTTGTGCAATGTCCATATATGAAAACTGCACTACAGAACTTTCTTTTATCATGTTACACTCCCCCATACAATTGGTAAAGCATATAATTTGTTAGGAGTAAACATGTTCGATAAAATCCCCCCCCTTTTGCTGGGACGCATCTGCAAACTTTTCTCCCTCCCTGATATATTTTCTCTCCAAATAAATTAATTATCCCTTTTAAATTACATTTTCTTGACAGCTTCTAAAATCCTTCTAATTTTAGAAATATTAATATTGGATTCCTTATTTTTTAGGAGCTGAAAGCATCACTTTTCACAGCGGAACAAACTCGCATACAATTGCTCCCCCAGCAATTCAGAGCTCCTCTATTGTTGCATATTCTATGGTTCGTATATTTAAAGCTAGAAGATTAGTTAATCTATTGTTGTATGCTCTATGGTTCGTATATTTAAAGCTAAAGGATTAGTTAATCTATTGTTGTATAATCTATGGTAGGTATATTTAAAACTATAAGATTAGTTGATCTATTGTTGCATACTCTATGGTTCGCATATATAAAACTAGAGCATGAGTTAATCCATTGTTTCATACTCTATGGTTCGTATATTTATAATTAGAGGATCAGTTAATCTATTGTTGCATACTCTATGGTTCGTATATTTATAATTAGAGGATCACTTAATCTATTGTTGCATACTCTAAGGTTCGTATATATTTATAATTAGAGGATTAGCTAATCTATTGTTGCATACTCTAAGGTTCGTATATATTTATAATTAGAGGATTAGCTAATCTATTGTTGCATACTCTATTGATTGTATATTTATAATTAGAGGATTAGTTTATCTATCGTTGCCTACTCTAGTATGCATATTTAAAGCTAAATGATTAGTTAATCTATTGTTGCATACTCTATTGTTCGCATATATAAAACTAGAGCATGAGTTAATCTATTGTTGCATACTCTAAGGTTCGTATATATTTATAATTAGAGGATTAGCTAATCTATTGTTGCATACTCTATTGATCGTATATTTATAATTAGAGGATTAGTTAATCTATCGTTGCCTACTTTATGGTTCGTATATTTAAAGCTAAATGATTAGTTAATCTATCGTTGCATACTCCATGGTTCGTATATTTAAAGCTAAATGATTAGTTAATCTATTGTTGCATACTCTATGGTTTGTATATATAAAACTAAAGGATTAGTTAATCTATTGTTGCATACTCCATGGTTCGTATATTTAAAGCTAAAGAATTAGTTAATCTATTGTTGCATATGTTTCGTATATTTAAAGCTAAAAGATTAGTTAATCTATTGTTGCATACTCTATGGTTCGTATATATAAAACTAAAGCATTATCTAATCTATTGTTGCATACACCATGGTTAGCATACTTAAAACTATAAGATTAGTTAATCTATTGTTGCATACTCTATGCTTCGTATATATAAAACTATAAGATTAGTTAATCTATTGTTGCATACTCTATGTAGGTTGATGGGAATGAGAGTAGGTTCTTACTAGGAAATATGGCCGGTCATCTGTTTATGCATGGGAGTAATTTAATTATGTATAGGTTGGTGGGAATGGGAGTAGGTTCCTTATGGGAAATATGGCCGATCATCTGTTTATGCATGGGAGTAATCTAATTATGTATAGGTTGATGGGAATGGGAGTAGGTTCCTACTGGGAAGTATGGCCGATCATCTGTCTATGCATGGGAGTAATCTAATTATGTAAAGGTTGATGGGAATGAGAGTAAGTTCTTACTGGGAAATATGGCCGGTCATCTGCTTATGCATGGGAGTAATCTATTTATGTATAGGTTGATGGGAATGGGAGTAGGTTCCTACTGGGAAGTATGGCCGATCATCTTTTTATGCATGGGAGTAATTTAATTATGATTTAAATTCGGTGATGGTGATGGACCAAACCTCTGAGAGTAAAAAAGTAGATGTTAGTTCCACATTTATTGAAAATATATTTCGGTCTGGGTTGACCCTCGTCAGTTCTAACGATATAATAACCATCAAAATCGATAAAAAAAAAATAAAAAATGTAAAAAATCACAAGAAGATAAACAAACAAAAGATTATTCAAAATAAAACTTTGGGGTGTCAAGTGGACATCAGGAAAATATTTAATTATGTATAGGTTGATGGGGATGGTAGTAGGTTTCTACTGGGAAATATGGCCGATCGTCTGTTGCATGGGAGTAATTTTATTATGTATAGGTTGATTGTAATGGGACTAGGTTTCTACTGGAAAGTATTGCCGATCATCTGTTTATGCATGGGAGTAATCTAATTATGTATAGGTTGATGGGAATGGGAGTAGGTTCCTACTGGGAAGTATGGCCGATCATCTGTTTATGCATGGGAGTAATCTAATTATGTATAGGTTGATGGGAATGGGAGTAGGTTCCTACTGGGAAGTATGGCCGATCATCTGTTTATGCATGGGAGTAATCTAATTATGTATAGGTTGATGGGAATGGGAGTAG